TGGCAGATAAATGTTTGTCATTTTAAATTGCTAGGTTTTGGGGTAGTCTACTAGTATTATACAGAACAGATAACTAATTTACATGGTACGTTTTTTCCCACCCTTTTGTTTTCAACATGTCTGTCTGTATACTTAAAGTGTTTTTCTTGCAAATAACAATGTTGTAGGTCTTGCTTTTCAAACCAATCTGACAATTTCTGCCTTTAACTGCATTGTTTAGCTGATTTACGTTTAATACAATTACTGATAATGTAGGTTGAGTCTAAGTCTACTATCCTGGCACACATTTTCTATTTGTCCCATCTTTTGTCATTCATTTATGCCTTTGTTCCTGCTTCTCCTTGGTGAATGGGATAATTTTTAGTGTTCTATTTAATATAAGTCTACATATTGACGTTTAGCGCCTCTTTTGACCACTTTGTGTTTTGTGTGCGTGTAAATGTGATTTTTCTAGAAATTACATGATATATATTTAACATATCTATTATCTCATGAACAAAGTAATATATTAAAACAGTATAATTCCTTTAACCCACTCTACCACCCCATATGCACATGTTGTCATATATTTTACTATAACACTACAATACCTTGCACCACAGGCACTCAGCTAATCTGTGCCCAGATTATCTGACACAGAGAAACTGATAGATAAAAGTTATTTTTGCTTTAAGCAGTCAGTAGTGCATTTGGTTTTTTATTACTTTATTTATCATTCTAACTATCTTTAAGTTCAGCAGTTTTAAGTATATCCAAATAAGACAGTATATATATCTATCCAGTCTAGTATTCTTCATTCTTTTCTGCAGATCTAGGCTTCTATCTGGTATCATTCCCTTTCACCCGAAGGACTTCTTTTAGTATTTCTTACAATGCAGTTCTGCTGAAGACAAATTCTCTCAGTTTATTAATATCAGGTAAGAACCAATCATTTTTCCTTCCTGTACTATGAGGACTTTAACAAATTTTGAATCCCAAAGTTCTTCTGGCAAATCTTTTCCCAATGTTTCATTGCTAAAATTGAGGATTTTAAATTGAAATATTATTATTCAAAGTATTATTTTTATATTTCCTTTCAAGATCAATTTGGACATTTGCTTTGTAATTATATTTGCAATTATGCAGACCTATTTTATGCTCACTTTATATGATTTTTCTAGTTATTTGAATTATTTATTCTGATTCATCTCTTAGTCAACTAGTCTTCAAATAATTTTTTCCAAAAGTACACATAGTCCCCTGCAGTTTGGCTCAGTGGTTGGCCCTGGGACTGAAGGGTCTTGGGATCAATTCCCAGTCAAGGGCACGTACCTCATTTGCAGGCTAGATCCTCAGGTGGGGTACAAACGGGAGACAACCAATGTGTGTGTGCGCCCCTCCCCCCCCCCCCCACCCAATTCTCCCTCTCCTTCACCTCTCTAAAAAAATCAACAGAAAAAATATCCTTGGGTGAGGACTAAAAATAATAACAATAATTTAAAAAAGAAATACACATAGTGACATATTTTCTAAGCTCATGCATATACAGTATAGGGATGAATTTTTGCTGCCCTTCACATGAGTAACAAAGTAAAATTGTTTAATACTGCTTAAATATTGCTCCATTTTTTCCTGGCATTTAGTAGAAAGTTGAAAAGTTCCTGGTCAGTGAGGCGCAGTCATCCTGTGCACTGAAAGGTTGCCAGTTCGATTCCCAGTCAGGGCACATGCCAGGGTTTCGGGCTTGATCCCTGACAGGGGTCATGCAGGAGGCAACTGATGGATGTTTCACTCTTCCGTGGATTTTTTTTCTCTCTCTCTCCTTCTCTCTTCCTCTCTCTCTCTAAATAAGAGGCTATTTTCATATGCCATTTTTAACTTGTAAACCCCCTTAGAATTTTATGCTAGCTATAGCCTTCAAATGGAAGATATCTTCTTCAAAATAAAAGTAATTTAAAACTGTTGTATTATCTATGTGTTCCCAAGAATTAAATTAGTATTAACTAGAAAAACAACTGTAGCTATAAGGATTTGGATAATATCTAAAATTACTACTAAATAAACAAGGAATTTCCCAGAATTTATAGAATTTCAGAGGAAGTTTGCAAAAAAAAAAAAAAAGTTCTCGGTCATTGTCAGACAATACAGCTTTCTGAGGTCCAAATCATTTATCAAGAAGGCTTCTATAACTTTCTTAATTTCTCTAGCCATCACAAGCCTTTCCTTCTCATTCAGAAATGAGCCCTGAAAATCTGGCAGGGTACTGAAAGCATCATTTATCTCATGCAGAAACAGCAGCTTACAACAACGGGCTCTTAAGACACTGTCCCTGCCCAATTGCTCTGTTAGACTGAAGAACTATATTTCTGGCAGGAAAATTCTGCATTCTCACCCTTATCCTTGTGCTAGATCCCGTGGCTTCAACTATTTTGAGAATGATAGTGATCCCATTCAACTGATGTCTTTCTTGAATCTTCAAGTGCCTCTATCAACCCACAACCTATTTCTCCTGAGAGCATTTCCTTTTTATCTGAAGCTATTTCTTCTCCTGACTGCTGCCGAAGACAATTTGAGCTGTCTCCCGTTCCCCTGCCTTTGGAGTGTGACTCATACATTTCAATACCACTCATTTTTATAACTAGCCTAAAAGTTATAAGACACTGGCACCCCATTCTTTTTTCACACTATTCATTTATCAAGTGAGAATGTCAGATACTAACATAGAACTAATTACTCAAGCATGAACCGAGAAAAAATGAGGTTTTACCTTACGAACTCCTAGAAAGAGCATTAATTAACCGCTGGCTCCTGGAGCTTGGAGCACATTGCCTTGCGGCCCCAGCCAATCAGCTTCCACATCACCTGGGAGCTTATGAGAAACTAGACTCTTGGTCCCCACTCCCTGTCTACAAAATCAGGATCGTGGCGTACGCAAGGTCTGCAGGGAACGGCCAGCGTCTTACCGTTTGGGAAGCACGGGTGCCTGGAGCAGAGCGTCCCAGCAGGTGCGCCAGGGCAGCTGGCCGGTGGGGATGAGAAACAGGTGTGCTCTGCCAGCGGCCTTCTCCGCCTCGGCCGGCCTCGGGGCAGCCAGTGGCCGGGAGGCCGAGCCCCGCCCAGTCGCCCCCCCCCCCCCCCAGCAGCTCCCCACTTACCTCTGTACTCAAGGGGCGTTCTCTGAAGTGAGTGTTCTCTAGACGCAGATTTCCGATCTGTTTGAGATGATGTTTGTCTATCGTCCCAGATGGACACAGTTGTGCCAAATCTGGTCCCTGAACCAGTGGAATGCCTCGGTTCCCAAGCACCTCTGCTCCCATGTCGTGCAAAGGCGGCATTCTTTCTCAGCATCCGGATGCGGAGGGTCGGGAGGGTTGTTTCAGGGGCACCTGGGAAAGTTCCTGCCTTGCGTGAGAGTGCCCTTCTCTCATAGTGCTCCCGCGCAGTGCCTCTTGGGGAACATGAGCAGGGCAGGTGGGAGCCTTCAACTGGCCATTTCCTTCCCCAAGTAAACATCCTACTCGTGTCTCAGAGCGTTTCAAGCCCAGTGTGCTGCAGTCGAGCTAGGATCCTCCCCAGGCCTGCTGCGTTGCTGGTGTTCCCATCTCCTCCAGGGGCACCATCATGCAATTGGACAAAGCACGGCCTGGAAGCCAACCTTGCCACCTCCCTCGCAGTCATGTTCCGGGCCCAGCACCAAGTTCTGTCTTACTGCCTGAGTCTCTCTTGAACCAGGATCTTTCTTCCCGTATTTTCCATTGCCCTGGTCCAAGTAAGCTCTTATCCTCTCCCTCCCAACTGGCCTCCCACCTCCACTCGCCTCCTAACATAATTAACTCAAGATGTGAATCTGTTTGCACCCCTCCCTTCTTTAACATCCCTTAAGGACTTCCCATGGCTTTCAGGACAGAAAGCAAAATTCTTAGCGCGGTCCGTAAAGCCCTGCTTCCCCCCTGACCTGTGACCCCGGTTGCCTGCCTTTACTCCATGCTCTGCTTGGCCTTCGGAGACCCAGCCTCACTGCATTGTCCTCTCTGGGTCCCTCGGCCTTTGCATGCAGGCTTTGCCAGTGCGAGCCTTTGCACTTGCTCGGTCCTCTAACTGGAATATCCCCACCCCCCCCCACCCCCGTGCTCTCTTGGCCTAGTCAGCGCCACTGCTGCAGCCTCTCTGTCTCGACTTACCCGGCCCCTTTGCAGAGGAGCTCTGCTGACACTCTGACCAAGTCAAGTCCCAACAGGCCCCCATTCGTGCCAGGCCCCTCCCCTTCCTAGCACTTTTCACAGCTTTCATCTTTCATTTTTGTGGATGATCACTGCATGAGCTCTTCCTGGCACCTAATAGAGGTTCAAAAGATCCCTGTAAAATGCTGACTGTGCGTGCACCCCCCTCAGACGCTCTCTCCTAGGACTGCCTTCAGCTGATCCAGCTGGCCGCACCGACGTTTACCAACGATTATGCCTGTTCTTACAGTCCTTACATTGACATCCAAGCGTATTTAGCTTTTTATTTCCTTTACATGTCTGATGGCTCCCCCTCAGGAGGCCCAGGTGGAACCTCTGGGGTTGGGCTTGGGGGAGGTGAGTGTAATGGAATAAAAGCCTTTGTGTGTGTGTGTGTGTGTGTGTGTGTGTGTGTGTGTGTGTGTGTGGTGGTGGTGGTGGTGGTGATTCTGATCGGCCACCTGCCTGGCAGAGATGGGGCAGGAGGGGCCTCCTCCAGATCTGGGGTGCATACTCGGGGTGGGAAGACCTGCTCCAAAGCCTTCTTCCCAGGAGTGCTACTCTATCCGCTCCCCCTCCCTGCTCCTCGGGCTTTCAGAGGTGGCATATTTACAGAGGAAATCGCTGCCCTTTTTGCATATTGATTCATTTGAGAGTACTTCTTCAGAACAAGAGACTCTGCTGGCCGCACTGCTGTTAGCTTTCTGTAAAGCTGCACACGGCTTTTCTGTGTGTGTTTATTACGCGCCCCTTGAGCTAAATGTGAGGCTGAGTGGTAATGGCGAGTCCATTTCCCTGCAGGCGAGCTGGACGCCCTGAGGAGCCCCGAGGTGTAATCTTTACGCAGCTGCCTTGGCAACGGAGTTCACCGGTGTTTGCTATCCGTCCAAGGACAAGCAAACATCCACAAGAGTGGCTGTTTCGAATGAATTTCCCTCTCAAATTGGCACATTCTCTGCGAGCTTTCCAGACTTCACAGCGTGCCTCACAGTTTGGAAACAATTGCCATCCTCACCTGAGCGGCAAGTACTGTTCTGTGGTGACTCGTGTCTTTAAAAGGCCACAGAGGTCCAGCCTGCTCTGCCGCAATCACTTAGATACACGCCCCCAAACATCCCCAGGATAAAAGGTCACCTTTTAACCCGTTAAAACATCACTGTTGCCACGTCTTAAGCTTTTGTGTACACTGAAGTTAACCATAGGGTACTTGAAATTTTTTATACTATATTAATTTACCAGTTCAAATCCGTGTTTCACACAAGACTTCCTTTATGTTGAATTATTGGGTTTTTTTTTTATTCTTAAAATGTCCTGTCGAAGGACTTCTCCATGTTCTATCAGGGTGGCTGGCAGCTTTGTCACTGGTTTGCCCACTTTTAGAATGACTAACGGTCCTGCTGTGACCCAGGCTGAGAGGGGTTCCCAGGGCCCCTGGTTTTCAGTGAGAAAACCAGAAAGTCCAGACCAATCAGGACAGATTGGTCACCCTCTTCCCACTTTTCCCCAATCAAAGGTAATTCCTCCCTGTGTGTGCGTTTCTTGGTGGTAGGAATTCCCTGAAACCAATAACTTGCTAAGCTTTCTCTCTCTGAGTCTGTCAGTCTCTCTCTCTCTCTCTCTCTCTCTCTCTCTCTCTCTCACATATAACAGCTTTACTGAGATAAAATTCACATAACATGCCATTCACCCATTTAAAGTGTGCCATTCTGTAGTTATTAGTATATTCACAGAGTTGTGCGATCCTCAACACAATCTTAGCACATTTTCATAACTCCCACAAATACCCTGTGCATTAGCAGTCACGCCCACTTCCCCATCCTCAATGCCTGCCAACCACTGGTCTGCTTTGCCTTTTCCTGTGACTGGAATCATATAATATGTGGCCTTTTGTGCCTGGCTTTCTTTCACTTAGCATGATGTGTTTAAGGTTCTTCCATATCATAGCACATATCCATTGTTTATTCCTTTTTTATCACTGAATAATAGTCCATTGTATAGATAGACCACATTTTATTTATCTAGTCACAAGTTGATGGACACTTGAGTTGTTTCTATCTTTGAGCTATTATGAATAGTCCTGCTATAAATACTTATGTACAAGTTTTTGTGTGACCATATTTTTCATTTCTCTTGAGTAAAAACCTATGAGTGGAATTCCTGGGTCATGTGGTGACTCTAGGTTTAATCTTTGAGGAACTGCCAGACTGTTTTCCAGAGTAGCTGAACCATTTGCATTCTCACCAGCAGTGTGTGTAGGTCCTAGTTTCCCCCGTTCCTTGTCAACACTTGTTGTTACCTGTCTTTTTTATTATAGGCATCCTAGTGGGTGTGACATGGTAGCTCAGAGTGTGATTTGCATTTCCTTGATGGCCAAGGATGTTAAACATCTTTTCATATGTTTATTGCTAAGCTTCTTAAATGGAAAATTATAATAAATATAAAGGATGTTGCAAAAACTGAATATATGCTGTCGGCTTAAGATTTAAATTAAATATTTATATAGGATGTCCACATTATTATCTATTATCTCAGATCATTCCACCTGGAGGTAAACCTCCATGTTTCATTTAAACCACTGCCTCTTCCTCGCTCTCTCTCACCTGCTCTGATGTCGGGCCATCCTCCGCTCTCTCCACCGAGTGACTGCTCCCTCCTGCAGCCAAGGGCTGTGTGTTCTCTGCACGTAAGCCTGGACTTGCAACCCGGCGCTTCACCGATTAACTTCCTCAGCGGCTGGGCACCCAGTCAGTGCTCCTGTTATCCGGGCTCCTCTGCGCCCTCATTCCTTCCCTTCTCTCACCGCTGATTGGATGCTGCTTCTTTCTCCTTTGCCTTTTCCTCCGGTTTCTCTTGCGCATTCTGTATGTTTTTTAATGTACCAGCTTGTCCCTTCCTTCCTGCCTTAACAATTTATGAGAGGACCCAGGCGCCCTCTTCCATCGCCGGCCCTTGCCTCCTCTGCTCCTGTCATTGACTGATTTTCTCTCAAGAAGCCCCACTGACTTGGCAGAAGAGGACAGGACTCCTAGCAAGGCCACAGAGAACACAGTCTGCTTTAGAAGACACACTCTCTGCTGCAATCTGTTCTGGAGCCTGAGAAGGGTAATTAGTAGTTCTCTTCTCTCTAGAGAGGCCCTGGCCACAGTTGTGCGATAGTGATTAAGAGTTTCTAAAAATGTCTATGGATGACCCCACTCCCCTCATTAAGCAGCCGCTACTACAAAACACCATTTCAGCATTTTAAACCCATTAGTGCCTGATATGTGTCGGTCAAATGGCATTACCTCGCAGTTTGGTAGAGGGGACAAGGTACTAATAATTAATAATTAATAATCAGTGAGCCAGGCGCTATCTAAGCAGTGGAGAAAGAGTAATTTCATGGGGACAGGCCAGTGGAGAAGTGGGCAGCCAGGTATTTTCATTGTCACTTCCACATAAAGAGATTCAGCCAGCACAGGGTAACGTGTCCACAATTCAGATACAAAAATGGTTTCTCATCATACTTACCTGGCGGGGGGTGGGGGGATGGGAGGGGGTACCATGATTACGAAGGTGTTTTCCCAGGGAGAGGCTTATCCATTGCACTCCAGATGCGCTGACCCCTGCGGTTTCCCCACATGTGGGAAACTCGACTGCGTATTTGTGGTCGTGGGGGACTGCATTCGCGCTCTCTCCTGTCAACAAAACAAAATAAAATATAAAAAGGTTTCTCATTTCTCCTCCCTGAAAGATACAACACTTAGGACAACGCTGAGATTTTTTTTTTTAAGTATATTTTATTGATTTTTTACAGAGAGGAAGGGAGAGAGATAGAAAGTTAGAAACATCGATGAGAGAGAAACATCGATCAGCCGCCTCCTGCACACTTCCCACTGGGGATGTGCCCGCAACCAAGGCACATGCCCTTGACCGGAATCGAACCCGGGACCCCTCAGTCCGCAGGCCGACGCTCTATCCACTGAGCCAAACCGGCCACGGCAACGCTGAGATTTTCAGCCCTAGCAAAGAGATCTGTGGTCCCCACGAGTGAGGTAGCACAATGTTTGTTGGTCTTTGTGTTTCAGAGTGAAGGGGCAAGAGAAGGAGGAGAAATTGAGGCGGGCAGTCAAGCAGGTCCTGAAGTGTGACGTGACCCAGAGCCGGCCGCTGGGGGCCGCCTCCCTGCCCCTGGCCGACTGCCTGCTCAGCACGCTGTGCCTGGACGCCGCCTGCCCAGACCTCCCCACCTACCGCACCGCCCTCAGGAACCTCAGCAGCCTGCTCAAGCCGGGGGGCCGCCTGGTGCTCGTGGATGCCCTGAAGAGCAGCTACTACATGATTGGGGAGCAGAGGTTCTCCAGCCTCTCCCTGGACCGGGAGGCTGTCGAGGCTGCTGTGCGAGAGGCCGGCTATGCCATCGAGCAGTTTGATGTGATCTCGCAAAGTTATTCTTCCACCGTGGCCAACAACGAAGGCCTTTTCTTCCTGGTGGGGCAGAAGCTGAGCAGATCTGCATGACAGCTTGTGGCCACAATGAAGGCACTTCCTTGACTTACCCAATTGACTTCAGTCCTTGGTTCTAATTGCTGAGGTCACTGTGCTGAGTAGAGGCTAATGGCTGGGGCGCTGAGGGTTTGTCTAGGACAAGGTTATAGCCGTCAGTAAACCTGGAGGCGGTTGGTTGACCGCCTATTCTGTGTCTAGACTTCACTACCTGTGATTATAAAAGAAAATATAACATTCCTTAAACATCTTGCTTATGAAGGCTCAAGCCCACACCTGCCTGCACAGCAATGTCTGAAGTTACTCAGCATTCATTTCCTTGGGGCCTGCTTCCTCCTTCTCTCCCACAAACAGACTTCTCTTCAACTCTTGCCTCTCTAGAGACCCCATCTTCAGCTGGGGTCCCCTGGTACCACCACTGCCTCTGGGGTCAGAGAACAGCTGTTGCTTTGCTCCTGGGTCCCAGGGATGAGTCAGGCCCTTCTCTTACTTCCCTCAGCACACCTACCTGGAGAGAAGCTTAGGGGTTAGCAAGCGCGATAGCAGGTGCTCATTACAGCTGCTGTTAGGAACAGTCTTCAGAGCCCCCCTCCTGAGAGGGTCCTGTTGGCATAGCCCTCGGCCAAGTATCTCCTTAGAGTTAGCTTATATCCTGATGGCATGCCTATGCTCTCCTCCTAGGCACCATCGCCCACGATGCTCTAAAGCAGAGGTTGACAAACCACGGCCCATGAGCCAGAGTCAGCCTGCTGCCCGTGTTGTAAAATCTTGCTGAGACATGACCACGCATTTACACATTGCCTGTGGCTGTTTCCGTGCTATAATGCCAGAGTTGAATAGTGTGACAGCAACTGTATGCATGACCTGTGAGGAACAGAGTAAAGACGTAAGATGGAGTCAAGCTGCTAAATGATTAACTTCAAGTGGGCTGAGTCATAGGGAAATGATTATTTTTGTTTTAAATGACTCTGGGGACTTAAACTTTTGAACTTTCCATTCTGTGTCAATACCTGGAAGCACATCAGTACATCGCGTGTTAATGACGGGACAGGCACCAAACCTCCAGGGAACCAGCTGAGTGACGTCAACAAGAAAGTGTTGCGATGTCTAGACCACTGGACAGCTGATGATTACCAGCACACACATGACGGTGACCATCTTGAACCAATTCGGGGCTAGGAATGTAGAACTGATTTTCCTCAAGAATATACTTTTTATTGTAAGAACCCTCAGCTATTCTTTCCCTTCCAGAACACTCTAGATACTGCCTCGTTGTGTTTCTGGTTTGCAAACCCTTAAGACCATTGAATAAATCTTTGTCACTTATTTCTAGCCATAGCTCCAGACTCTACTGAGCTCAGTTGACATTTAACAAAGCCCAAACTAGCTATTATCTGGACCATTACAGAAAGTTTGCCGATCCCAACATAAAGGAGAGAGGAGTGTCCCTTCCCACGCTTTCTCATCCCAAGATTTCCCTTTTCCTAGGTTTACTGACAGGGGACCTTTCTGCTTTCCACAAGGGAGAGTCCTTCCTCCCACTCCCCCCACATTCACGGACAATCACATCAGAGCACAAGAGTCCAACATCAGTACATTTTTGTTTACATGGTTGTTTAGGACAATGGTGTCATAACACAATATGGTCCATTTCCAGGATATTTCAATCACTCAAGCTCATAGGGCATTTACATTCAAACACAATATTCTGCCCTAACCGGTTTGGCTTGGTGGATAGAGCATAGGCCTGTGGACTGAAGGGTCCCAGGTTCGATTCCGGTCAAGGACATGTACCTTGGTTGCAGGCATGTCCCCAGTGGGGAGTGTGCAGGAGGCAGCTGATCGATGTTTCTGACTTTCTAACCCTCTCCCTTCCTCTCTGTAAAAAATTAATAAAATATATATTTTTAAAAAACCCCACAATATTCTAATCTGATTACAATTCTAGAGATTCCATCCTGAAGGACACAAAGGGGTGAGTCCTGGATGGAGAAAGCCACGCCCAGCTCTGTTCCTTGAGCAGGTGCTGATGACTGGGCCTGCACATCCGTTCTGCAAGCAGCAGCCCCCAGAAGAGCGCACTTACCTCACAGGAGCCAGCACAAAGCGCCAGGCTGCCAGGAAGTGCCCATGTCTTTAGAAACGGGGTTCTCTCCAGCATGTGCCACATCTCCCCGCCCAGAGGGAAGGCCACAGCTTCGCCCAAACCATCTGTATTTGGTTACCTCCCAAAACAGCAGCCCTTGCTTATTTATTTTTGCATAACTGTAAACAAAAACACGTTTTCATTTAAAAAAGGATTTTCTGGTTTAAAACTCTTAAAAATAAGCACTCTTCACCATTATTTCCATTATTGAAAATATAGCTCCTTAGATTGAATATTGCCTTCAAAACATTTTAAATTAAATATAGCACCCTTGCCTGGCCGGTGTGGCTCAGTGGTTGAGTGTCGTCCTATGAACCAGGCGGTTACTGTTAGATTCCCTCCAGAGCACATTGCCCCAGTTGTGGGCTCGAACCCCAGTGTGGGGTGTGCAGGAGGCAGCCAATCAATGATTCTGTCTCATTATTGATGATTCTATCTCTCCCTCTCCCTTCCTCTCTGAAAAAAAAAAAATGTAGCGCCCTTGAAAATTAAGAACAAACAACAGTTTGCTGTGCTCTGACATAAAGGATATAGGGAAACTGAAATACAGCCCTGCCTACGTTTCGGGCCAGTGAACTCGGAGCAGACTGTCCGTGAAAACCAGCTACACTGAAGACAGATTTATAAGAAAGAGACATAAGACTAATTAAATCCCGTAGCATAGACAAGAAAACAAACAAACAAGAAAATCCCCAAGTGATCTCTTTTTAAGAGAAGCTTCAAAATGATAGGTTTTTACTCTTTCCTTTGCTATGTTGTGTTATAACTTTATTTTTCTGTTTCCCCACTGAACTGTGAGCCTCTGGTTTATATGTAGACTCCCTGACACTTTGGCCAGACATGTCTGGGTGCTGGAGACAGAGCAGTGCATCGTGGAGGTGAGAGCCCTGGTGTCCAGCGCTTATGTTCCCAAAGAGGGAGTGGGGGGAGGCAGACAAGGAAGCTAACTGGTAAATAGGAGACTCTCTGATAGTGACAAGATCCACTAAGGAAATACAACTGCGTAATGGAGAGGAGAATGCCTGTGAGACAATGAGTATCTGACTAAACACTGTTTCAACAAGAGGGTTCATCAATCTCACTAAGAGGTTCCAAGGCCAGTACTCTGGGAGGGATGGTGGCTCAGCCCTGTGGGAGGGATGGTGGCTCAGCCCTGTGGGAGGGATGGTGGCTCAGCCCTGTGGGAGGGATGGTGGCTCAGCACTGAGGGAGGGATGGTGGCTCAGCCCTGTGGGAGGGATGGTGGCTCAGCACTGTGGGAGGGATGGTGGCTCAGCACTGAGGGAGGGATGGTGGCTCAGCACTGTGGGAGGGATGGTGGCTCAGCACTGAGGGAGGGATGGTGGCTCAGCCCTGTGGGAGGGATGGTGGCTCAGCACTGAGGGAGGGATGGTGGCTCAGCCCTGTGGGAGGGATGGTGGCTCAGCCCTGTGGGAGGGATGGTGGCTCAGCCCTGTGGGAGGGATGGTGGCTCAGCACTGAGGGAGGGATGGTGGCTCAGCCCTGTGGGAGGGATGGTGGCTCAGCCCTGTGGGAGGGATGGTGGCTCAGCACTGAGGGAGGGATGGTGGCTCAGCCCTGTGGGAGGGATGGTGGCTCAGCACTGAGGGAGGGATGGTGGCTCAGCACTGAGGGAGGGATGGTGGCCCAGCACTGAGGGAGGGATGGTGGCTCAGCCCTGTGGGAGGGATGGTGGCTCAGCACTGTGGGGGGGATGGTGGCTCAGCACTGAGGGAGGGATGGTGGCTCAGCACTGAGGGAGGGATGGTGGCTCAGCACTGAGGGAGGGATGGTGGCTCAGCACTGAGGGAGGGATGGTGGCTCAGAACTGAGGGAGGGATGGTGGCTCAGCACGGAGGGAGGGATGGTGGCTCAGCACTGAGGTAGGGATGGTGGCTCAGCACTGAGGGAGGGATGGTGGCTCAGTACTGAGGGAGGGATGGTGGCTCAGCACTGAGGGAGGGATGGTGGCTCAGCACTGAGGGAGGGATGGTGGCTCAGCACTGAGGGAGGGATGGTGGCTCAGTGTCCGCCAGCGCTGGGCCCAGGTGGCATCTTCCCGTCTGTGGGTGAGTCATTCGTGGTTGGAAATCTCTTTCAGATGCCCCCGCAAGTGTCTCATGTCTTGTTGCCCAGGACTGAGTAAAATGCCCGCCTCTAGACCAGTTACAGAGAAAACAGAAAGGCACAGGCATATTCCTTAAGATGTGTTAAAAGAATGAACAAATTCTTAGATAACAACAAAAAGAAAAATAAAGCTCATGGATTCCATGAATGAGCCAGCAGCTCTGTCATCCTAGCAATCCGTTCCCCCACCTCCACCCCCACCCCCTCAGCTACGCACATCATCCTATTTTCAAATTCTGACTCGGCCACTTCCTAGCTGTTTTTCCTGGGGCAAGTTATCTAGTTCCTCTGCACCTCAGCCTCCCCATCTGTAAAATGAAATTAAACTAGAACTTCTTGTCAAGAGAATGAAAATAAATGGCTACCTATAAAGGACCTAACAGTGGTCGGCAAACTCATTAGTCGACAGAGCCAAATATCAACAGTACAACGATTGAAATTTCTTTTGAGAGCCAAATTTTTTAAACTTAAACTAGATATGTAGGTACATTGTTATTAACTTAATTAGGGTACTCCTAAGGCTTAGGAAGAGCCACACTCAAGGGGCCAAAGAGCCGCATGTGGCTTGCGAGCTGCAGTTTGCCGACCACGGACCTAGAACAATGCTTAGCACTTAATATGCACATACTTCTCTACTGTACGTTATAATCCTTATTTCATCATCTCCACTTGTGGTGTTAGTTGCCAAAGCGGCTGAGAAGAGATGTATTGTTTCCAAGAAGGAGAGATTTCAGTTCTGGGCTGCAGGTGTCCAGGCCTTTTCCTGGCAATGCCCTCCAGAGGGGCTCTGCTAAAACTCAGCTTCTACACCACAGGCCACCAATTCCTTCTCGTTTAAGAAATATTCAGCAAACATGTATGTAGTACCCACACCCCTTTCCTACCTGAGGAACTTGGAAGGCAAATAAAGCCCCCGTGTCAGCCCGCTCACGGTCCTGGGCTTGCAGTCACGGTAGCATCCCCTGTTTCCAGGCACTTCCCAGGCGCGCTGCAGGCTGCAGCCCGGTCCCACCCAGAGCCCACGGTGCCAGCTCTGCTCAGGCTGTGCTCCAATGGGCGATGGGCGTGAGTCGGTTTGGCCTGTCTTGAGAAAGGCTCTGCTCATGCCAGTTCTGTTTGGCTGCCTCAGAGAGTGCTGGTTTCCTCCCAGCGAGGTAGAGGATGCTGCTTCTATTCTGAGCGTTAGTACGCTTTTTCTGCAAAGGGCCATATAGTAGATATTTTAGGCTTTGCAAGTCTTATGGTCTTGATGGAAACTACTCAAGTCTACAATTACAATGAAAGCAGACCTAACAATATGCAAATGAAAGGGCAGGGCTGTGTTTCAATAAAACTTTATTTACAAAAAGAGGTCGATGAATGTATTTGGCATTTGGTACAAGGGTTGTAGTTTACTGATGCCTGATCTTGTCCCTGAAGCAGCCTTGCTTGTGCCCAAGGTTTTACAAGGTTTCTCATGGACATTCTGGTTAGTTTCAAACATCAGTCCTGCCTACAGGAGCTCAAACCCAGTCCAGGCTGGAAGGGGACTAACGGAACATTGTTTCTCCACGCTGTAGCCACGCTCCATCACTCTCCCCTGCTGCCTCCCCCAATCAGAACTCCTCCCTCCTCCCCAGTGTGAAGCATTCAATAGTTACAGACAGAAAATGGGGGGCAGGGGGCGGGGGAGAAGCAGATGAAGCCAACTACACTAACAGTTTTCAAACTGCAAGTTGGCCTTCAATAGCGTATCATAAAATCAACTCAGTGCGCCACCACAGTCATCTGGAAAAAACAATAGAGAGTAAACTAGAAGACAAAATTCCCGTTGTAGCATTTCGCATGGTATTATTTTGTGAAGTTTTGTATAATTACATATATATATATTTGTTACTACATCATGATATATAATATATATATTACTTCAGCTTGTGATAAAAAATGTTTGAAAGTCACTAGGCCAGCCGTGGGCAAACTACGGCCCGCGGGCCGGATCCGGCCCGTTCGGCTGTTCTATCCGGCCTGCGGAGCCGAAAGAGCGGAGGGTTCTCTTGCTCTCCCCTCCGCTCCTTCACCAGCAGCAGTGTTAACATGTATTAGTTCACACAAACACTCCATCCATGCTTTTGTTCCGGCCCTCGGGTCCAGTTTAAGACCCATTGTGGCCCTCGAGTCAAAAAGTTTGCCCACCCCTGGACTAGGCTGTACTCCGGGTTCTGGGACTCATTCCCAGTAGCCAACATTTTCCTTTCAAACAGAGATGAAAGGCGTGGCCCTGTTCTTAAATAACCCCAAGCCACGGGGACACGGACAGGCACACCGTCAGCATGGGCACGGCCAGGGCTCGGGATGAGTCAGCACACAGTGCCGGAGGGGGTTGTCAGGAAAGGTGCTGTTTGCTCTGGGTCTTGTGAGCTGACCAGGGGTGTGTTTAGCAGATGGGAGGCGGGCAATCGCCCTTCTCATAGGTCTGTTGTCCAACTGAAGCTGGGACCTAAGCAGATATTTGGCTGCTGGTCTTGTGTTTGTTTTCCTGAAGTCAAACAGACAGACCCAGGCACTAGCAAACACTGGCTAGGGGTCACTCTGGTACTTACTTATAAATACCTTTGACCACTGACCCAGCACAGAGTTTTTTTTGGTCCACTTTCCAGGAAGATGTTCAGCAGCCTCACCCTGAGCAAACTGTTAGGATGCGGGAAGATGCGGGTCCTGTAATCTCCTGGGCGAGGACCGGAAGGGAGCGCTGTTAACAAGGCTGTTCACTGCTGGGTGCTGTGCAGCCCGACCAGCTCGGCCTCTGTCATGCCCATCAGCTGGCTGTCAAGAGGAATGAGGACACGTCCATGGCGGGACTTACCAGGCAGATCTTTAGAAGCCGGGACTGCCCCCTCTCATTTTAACCTCAGGCAACTGGAGAATGCGACATGACCACTAAGTCTTGTGGAGGCTACGAAAAGGTGGGAAAAGCTCAGGATTGCAGGATAGGCCCGGCCAGTGTGGCTCAGTGGTTGAGTGTCGACCTATGAACCAGGAGGAGGTCACGGTTGAATTCCTGGTCAGGCACGTGCCGGGTTGCGGGCTCGCTCCCCAGTAGGGGGCGTGCAGGAGGCAGCCAATCAATGATTCTCTCTCATCATTGATGTTTCTAACTCTCCTTCCCTCTCCCTTCCTCTCTGAAATCAATAAAAATATATATTTTTTAAAAAAGATTGCAGGACAGGTGCTCGCTTCAGCAGCACATATACTAAAATTGGAATGATACAGAGAAGATTGGTGTGGCCCTGCTTAAGGATGACACACAAATTCATGAAACATTCCATATTAAAAAAAAAAAAAAAGATTGTGGGACAGAAACTGTGTGCGAATCTTCGCCTTATCGCTTCCTTGCTATGAAAGCATCCTTCCACCTGTCTCCAACAGCCACTGCTCAGGACGACTGAAGTCAGATGAGATGCCTGTGAGGCCATCTTGGGACCTGGTAAGTTATGCATAGCTATGAGATCGCTTCGGTGTTATTAACCCTGTCTAGGCAGCCGCTGTGCCCCGTGTTGCTATATTCATTAAGATTCCTTTCATGACCTGAGTGGGGTGGACTTCAAAAGCTCTTGTAAAGCTGGATCGCGTCATGGAGAGGCTCCAGCGCGCCTAGGGAAACCCACCCTGCACACGCTTCATGTCTAAGTCAGCACCACGCACCTTTATGGCTCCTCGGTCAGTCAGGAGGTGTTTGCTGTGCCTGCTGGGTGCCAGGCATTGGCCTTGAGGGTGGAGGATGCAAGACTGAAGGTGACGCAGCCTCAGGGGATTATGTCGCTGTGAAGGAGGCCAGAAGGTGATGTGCTCTTACAGAGCCTTCAGATAAGTACTAAAGAGGAGGAAAGGAAAGGGAAGGAAAGAAAATGAAAGGAAAGGAAAGGGAAGGAAAGAAAATGAAAGGGAAGGAAAGAAAATGAAACGAAAGGAAAGGGAAGGAAAGAAAGAAAAGAAGAGAAAAGAAATACTAGATGTTTTTGTTTCTCAAGTCAGGTTGTCCTTTCTGAGAGAGGGCAAAAACAAAATGAGAAAACAAAAACAAACAAAACCCCCACCATGGCTCAGGTGTTTAAGAAAGATGACCACAGCCCTGGCCGGTTGGCTCAGTGGATAGCGCATCGGCCTGCGACTGAAGGGTCCAGGGTTCAAGTCCAGTCAAGGGCACATGCCAGGGTTGTGGGCTCGATCCCCAGGAGGCAGCCAGTCAATGATTCTCTCTCATCATTGATGTTTCTATCTCTCCTTCTCCCTTCCTCTCTGAAATCAATAAAAGTATTTTTTTAAAGAGAAAGAAAACATTTAAAGAAAGACGATCACAAAGACAAACAGGGGGTGAGTGGAATAAGAGGCTGTCCACGTATTCCCAGTGGAGCAGGGACTCTCTCCTCCTCGCCCACCACTTGCCCTCCCTCTTTGCTGGCAAGTTTTGGGCAAAATGCTTTGCTTGGCCCTCGACAACCAGAAGAGGGCGAGCGAGGCTGCCGCTGGAGCCTTCCTTCCTGAATTTGCCCTTTGCTGCGGCGAGGAATTCAAATTGAGCGAAGCCTTTCACAGCCAGAGCCCGGCCACAGCATATGCTGTGTGCTCTCTGCTCCGGGCTGCTAGGGAAAGGCGAGGGAATCCAGCCTATTTTCCCTTAACAAAAAAAAGTATAATTATTTTTACAGATGCATACATTTAAACATTTCCCCTCTGCCGTCTATACCCAAAATGCAAATTTTAATAAACCATTCAGAGGCTCTGGGCCAGCTAAGCATAAGAAATGTTAAATATTAGATTATGCAGTTAACTCACCATCATCTCCTATTTCCTGTTTATTCAAAGAAGAAACTAAAAGTTTTTGTGCTTTTTCAAAACTCCGTTTTTTATTATTTAAAAAAAATAGTCTTTCTATGGTTTGGGGCCAAACCGTGATGTTTAAAGCTTTAAATTTTACTTCCATAGCGTCTGATGAGTTCAGGGGAAGAGCTGGGGTTGCATTGCAAACCCTCAAGAAATCCCCGGGAATGAAGATCGCTTCTGTGCTGCCCGGTGGAGACCAGGACAGGATTTCCTCCCCGGCAGCCTACTGTCTCTCTCCGCTCACGGGAAAGCCCGCGCACCTTGAAAGAGAAGAGGATAAAACACAAAACTGGGGGCGTAGTTCGGTTCTCTCACTAAGATCGGTAGCAACAGGACCCACTCACTTGGAAGCCCACCACCCTGGGACCGGTCTTCTCCTCTGAGCCTGGCCACAGCTCTCCCTGTGCAACAAGGGGAGGAAGGTGTTTCTGGAAGGCGGGTAAACCGTTTGCTGCCCCCTTCTCCTCGAGGGCCCGTTTCTGCCCCTCCTCACCACCCTCTAACGTTCGGTAAAGGCTGTGGAAACCCCAGTCACTCCATGTGATCCTGGTCCTATAGGATGTATATCTTACTTGTGAGTTAAAATTTACAAAATTAAAAGTCAAAATCTCCTATTTTATAGGTGAAGGCTTCGAAACGGACCTGGGCCAAAGATCCTTCACCTTTCTGTGCCTCAGTCTCTCCTGTGAAATGAGAGGCTGAATTAGCTCCCTATAAAGTCCAACATTTTACAACTTATGAATCAGAGTACGATACCTGTTAAAGTAGAATGCCAACACGCGCCAGCTAGCAAATCCCATTTTTAATATTTAATAGAAATTGGCTCAAAACCCTATCCTTCATGCAACCCATGATTCCTCTACTGTTTCAGGGAATTGCGGGGGCGGGGCGGGGGGGCAGTGACTTCCATTTCTCCTGGTGACCCCTGGATCTGAGCTCCCCCAATCACTGGGTTCTAGTTTGTGAACCATCTCACTTCAGGCACATGCTGATCCTTTTCTGTGTCGCATGACCCTTGACCAGACTCATCCTCATTCTCTGAAATTCCACTGGCCCCAACATGCAAGTATCAGACATGATGGAAGCTTCAAGACAATGGAAGGAGTTCGCACATTAGGGACTCAGCAACTTAAAATACCGGCACCCTCGTCTTCACCTTCTGGGGAGTTTCCCAGTGGTGCGCTCTCTCCACTTGCCCTCACTGTGCCGCTCTGCTGTGCTCACTGGCTTCTTGGCTGCCCCCCGCCACGTCCCCCCACAAAGGCCTGTACCCACGTCTGCAGGTCACTGGCTTCTTCAGGTCCAGACCACACCCCTGGGGCTTCACTTCCCTCAGGCCTTCAGGTGCTTTCCTTCATAGAAACTTGGGTGCCTGTATTTCATCAGAAAGTTCACCCCCCTTTTGGTTTGGGCTCTGAGCTTCCCAGCACCCAAAGCAAAAAAAAAAAGAGAGATATTAGTTACAAGGCTCCCTATACTTACAAATTCCAGACAAGCCAGCTGTTCGGATAAGCTGGACTCGTCCTGGCCCTGCACACTCTGCCCCAGTTCACGGTCGTGGGGGCATTGTGGGGGTCACGCCCACCTGCGGCCTGCGCGGCGTATGCCCGGCTTAGCTCAGGAGGTCACTGTAGCTTTTCAAGACTGTTTTCAAGTTTGAAACCTGAAGAAAAGCACTATTGATTCCTGTACACAAAAAGCATTTAATGAGCGTCAGGAACAGTTCCCGGTGCTGGACAGAGGGGAGCACAGGACAAGCATGGCCCCCGCCCTCCCGGAGCTCACAGCCAAGGTGGGCACAGGAGGCAGGGCAGCCTCAGCACGCTAGTGTGATGAGATGGGGAAGCAGAGGAGAAAACAGTCTGGTCTTGAAGGATCGGCAAAGGCTTCCTGGAGGAAGTGACGCCTAAGGTAAAACTCAAAGGGAAAGTAAGATTTACCTGTGAAAACGGGAGGGAAGCAAGTTTGGGGCGGAGAGAAGAGCAGGTGGGACGGGCCGGAGGAGAGGGGAACACCACCAGGGTTAGTGCCCACAGCAGGTGCTGCAGTGCCCACCCAGACCCTTCTCCAGGCCGCACACCAGCCCCTACCTGCCCGGAGAGCTGGCTGCTAAGGGCTCACAGCTGCCCCTTCTCATCTGGAAAGTTACAAGCCATTACCTCCTCCCGCCCCATCCCCAGGGGGCAGCCCACACACTGGCTGATACTGGGTTTCAAAAGGCTGGTGTTCTTGCTGGAAGTGGGGGTGGGGTGGGGGGTACACTTGTACATGTAGTTTATGCTCCAAGCTCCTTCTCCCTCGTGGATGAGGCCAAGGCTAGGTTTCACCCGAGACCACATCTCGCTCAGCTCCCTCCTCCCTTCGTTAGCGTTTTCCCTGAAGAGCATCCCCTCAGTTAGTTACATGTCCCCAAGCCCCTGACCTGCTTCTCAGGAACCGAAGCTAAGACAATGGCGAAGGGAAAATTGTTGAGACTGAATCCTCTCTATGCACTTGGTTCAAATTGGAGCCCCATTCACCAGTACCTACTTAAGTTACTCCCATTGCCAATAAACATTCTTTTTTTTTTTTTTTAAATATATTTTTTATTGATTTTTTACAGAGAGGAAGGGAGAGAGATAGAGAGTTAGAAACATCGATGAGAGAGAAACATCGATCAGCTGCCTCCTGCACATCTCCCACTGGGGATGTGCCCGCAACCCAGGTACATGCCCTTGACCGGAATCGAACCTGGGACCTTTCAGTCCGCAGGCCGACGCTCTATCCACTGAGCCAAACCGGTTTCGGCCCAATAAACATTCTTATGTGATATTTCCATTTAGCCTTCTGATTACTAGGATCCCAGTTAAAACAGCCCTGATCTAAATTTGCAAGTAAGGACACCAAGACCCAGGAAAGCATGGTCGTTATCAGGGTACATACCTCAAAAAGATATCCAATGTCCTTTGACCTCCTGGGATTTGAGGACACATATCCCAGGATGACAACCAATGATATTCTGAGTTCTGGCAATACACACTCCTCCCACTACGTAAAGAGTCTGTGTTCTGGTTATGACCCAGTCTCTTATGAGTCTGATTAGTGTGAATCAGTGACCAGAATAAGTTTCTGAGCCTGGCCAGTGTGGCTCAGTTGGTTGAGCATTGTCCCATAGACCAAGAGGTGGCCGGTTCCATTCCCAATCAGGCGATATGACCAGGTTGCAGGCTCGATCCCCAGTAGGGGACATGCAGGAGGCAGCTGATCCATGTTTCTCTCTCACATCGATGCTTCTCTCCCTCTCCCTTCCTTTCTCTCTATAAAAAAGTCAATAAAAACATATAAAAAAAGAAAAAAAACGTTTCTGAACCTATAAGACTAGACACTGTCCGACATAATCTAAAATGGTCTCACATGCTCCTTCCTGCCTTTACCCCCTGGAGATCAGGGTGCATGACTTCCCATGGTGGGTCAGAGTGCGAGCTGGAACTTGACAGATGAGTAGAAAGAAGTTCAAAATGCACTGCAAAGCAAAGCAGGGAAACGCCTCTACAGCCAAGGCAATGTTTTGTGTGGGTTTTTTTTTTTTTTTTTTTTTCGTTTCTTGCTCCCAGGCAAGAAGTATGATCCATGAATTAAGGATAATTGTTGTCCTTTAGAAATGCAACTGTAATTATAACAGTTAAGTGCACTTAGTACACTGAGTCCTTACTAGAAGAGTCCATTGTTTCCGTTCACAGAGGGTCCCGCTAGCCGCTTGATCGTCCTCCTCCGGGTGTGGGGCTTACGGAAACCTGGGTCCCGGCCAGCGGGATGCACCGAGGAGAATGGGACATTCCACCTCCAGTGCGATCCAGGGCCCCACCACTCACAGCCCAGGTGAGCTGATGCCCAATCCCCTGAGGGAACCTGTTCTCTCTCTGCCTTTGGGCTCCCAGGCACCAGGTGCTAGGGATCCAGACGGGAAATCAGACATGCCTCAGTCCCTGCCCTCTCTGAGGTTACAGCCTGTTTGGCAAGGATGGACCATAAAGCCAAGCCAAACAATTCCGTGTGAAAAGTGTGAGTAGGGAACATGCACAGGTGTGGTTTCCAGGAGAAAGTGACTTTAAAATATGTATATACTGTATATTAATTTCAGAGAGGGAGAGAGAGAGGACATGAATGATGAGAGAGAATCATTGATCAGCTGCCTCCTGCACACCCTCCACTGGGGATTGAGCCTGCAACCCAGGCATGTGCCCTGACCCAGAATTGAACCACGACCTCCTGGTTCATAGGTTGACGCTCAACCACTGAACTCACCGGTCCGACCGGGAGAAAGTGACTTTGAACCTGAGATCTAAAGGATGAACAGAGTAGGCCAAGCATATGTTGTTGGCGGTGGGTGGGGGAAGGGGACCCGTATTCCAGGTAAAATGCAGCCAAGACCGAGGGAGGGGGGGGGGGAGAGAGAGAGAGAGAGAGAGAGAGAGAGAGAGAGAGAGGCTTTGTCTTTGTTCGACTCAGGTTATATTATCCCGGGAAGGACCAGGTAATGCTTCAAACTAACCAATCAACTTCCCAAGGTTTTGAGGGCTTCTGATGGGTCCACCCCCTAACCAATCCGTTCTTCAGATCTTTGGGGCTTCAGGTCCCCTATCCAATCCAATCCCTCTCCCAGGCTAGACTGACAGGCTTGTCGGGTCGACATTTGGCTCCTACTGTGCATGTGGCTCCCTCTTTATTGTTCTATCCTCCCCCTAGTGATCTTCCTGAAACAAACCGGTGAAGCTGTTTGTCCCCTGGAGTGTGTGAAGCTGTAACTTCCTGAGGAAGCAAGCCTATGCTCCCTAGTCAATTATGCTGCATAACGTCTGGTTTCTTTGGCTCTCTTCCTTTACTAATGTCTAACTACCTACGCCAACTAGCTGAATGACCAAATACATATTTCTTATAGATCACAGTATCGCAGTAATTTATGTGTCTCTTTCTTCCACAAGAGCTAGAGACTACTACGCTGTAAGCTCTGTGAAGAGTTATAATACAGTAAGAAATAACAGCAACAACTAACGGAGATATTGCTATGAGACCTTCCATATGTATTTTCTCATTCAGTTCTCACAAGAATTCTCTGAATTATATACTATTATTCCCACTTTAGAGATGGGGAAACCGAGGCTTAGTGATTATAATAGTACTTGCTTATGAAGTAATGGAGGCAGGATTTGCACACAGGCCGAGTCAGAAGCCCGCATGCTAATTGCTGGACCCGCCTGTGAATTTAAGCTCTTGTGGAGAGACCTTTGGAAAGGAAATACAAGGTCTTCGGCATAATTGGATGGCCACTCATTGGCTTGAGAAGGCAAATGGTCAGGGCTATTATTGTCCGGGAAGGTTTTCTGCTTATGGGCGAAACAAGAAGGTCTCCGCTTGGCGGTGGGACCTATGTGCTTGAAGACAGTGGTATAGGCACCAGGGGCCTGGGGGGTGGGGGGTTCTCGACAGCACCGGGTGGTAGGCTGGTACCAAACAGCAAAGTTGGGGCCCAGAGAGGATATGACCTGGGGTACGAAGGTCCCTCAGGTAGCAGCCAGGAACCGGGTTATGTCCGAAGCGATAAGATCATGCTGCAGCCACCCAGGATCTAGAAGGCACGCATGTTAGCATGAGGGAAGCCCACGGAGGGAAGACGCCTCAGCGCTCATCCCTCAGGGGCTCGGGTCAGAGTGGGATACTCAACCAGGCCAGGCTCTGCGTCGGGTCATCTGCCGTCATCTGCCGGCTGAGCCCGGGCTGCTGGGCCTGAGGAAACGGCTCAGGGATGAAGGAGTGTAGAGAACCGCCACCTCGGTACAGAGGCATCCACAGTCCTCGGCCAGAGAGGAGCTCCTTTCCCGCTGGGGGAACTGAGACTCACAGCCCATTTGCGGCCTGGAGATTCTGATTCTGAACATAACTGCACTTTGTTCAAAAACACGGTCCCCATTCACACCACTAGCCGCTCACAGTCCTCACTGGAGGTCCTCCAGTGGCCACGGGAGTCTAGGGGGGCCAGTGGGGAGGTCTGAGGCTGGAGGAGACCCTGGCATGTCCCCAGTGTCCCTACCTCAGAGCAAGCTGTCAGCCGTTTCCAGGAACAGAAAGGCCAAGGTCTCTAGAGAACAGACCACCACGGCCTGTGCACAAGTTCTCCTGCTGCCAGAGGCGGAGCTTTGATCTGTCTCCCACCCCCACCCCCAGGGAAGATAAAGAAAGAGGCCCCCCCCCCCCCCCCCCCCCCCCACACACACACACACAGTGTCTCCCTCCCAGCACCCTGCCTGCCACTGCTCAGATGATTTCATCTCAGGGAAGACCAGCCTCCCTGGCCAGCGTTCCTAAGGCAACCGGCCTCTCTGAGGAGCCTCAGGACAGTGACAGCCTTAGCACAGCTAGGCGCCACTGCGGTTATGTTTTCACCTTTAACAAATTCTCCTTGACCGTCATTTATATTCTTCAGGTCTGATCTAATTTCTCCTAGGCCTTGGCCTATGGACTTGTGACCATTTGTACAACGAGAATGGATCTGGTCAAAATGATGAAGTGAATGAAATCTGTCTCCATTAACCCCGCACCAGCCAGTTCTCTCCTATTCCAGATCCTTCCTGCTGCTGGGCGGCCGCAGCCTGCGCCTTCGCTCCCTCTCACAGGGTTCCTCTCACTGGTGCGGGTGTTTCGCCCCTGCCACTCGCACTGTTAAGAAACAGTGGATGAATGTGCAACCCAAATAAAACCCGTGGCCCGCCTCCACTGATACTACCCTATAATGAAAATTTTAAAAATCTGACTTCAAAAGCATTGAAAGCAACAAGGGTCTCGTGTCTGAGGTGTCCCGAGGCAGTGGGGCGTGGCTTGTACAACACAAAGCAAGACTTCCTAAAATCCCTCCTTTTGAATCTCCTTCTTCAGCCCCATCCCTCACAACAGCAATGTTTCTCCTCTCTCTTTCTTTTCCTCCCCCAGAGCTCTTCTGCCCCCGGCCCCTGGCTGTCACTCATGTCTCGTGGGGCGGCCGCCCCGCTCTCATCCCCCCCCCCTGCCTCCGGAACGGTCCTCCCTCGGCAGCCCATTTCCTAGGTTTCTTCAGTTTTGCACTCTCCCCAGTTCCCCGCTTGCAAAGTTCTAAGGCGATCAGAGGAAAGGCTCCCGGGAATGGTGTCCCCAGCTGAGACGCTCCTCTCTTGTGTGTGTGTTGGTGAGACATAAGCAACATGCTTTGTTCCCACTCAGAATCTATGGCTGCTTGGAGCTGTGCTGGTGTTTCAAATAGGCAAGGGGAACAGAGGTTTCTTTTCAGGAAAATATTTTATTACCTTACAATCATCTAGTGAGCACGTTGCTTCTAAGGCTTCAAGCTGTTTGCAAAGTTCAGAATCTGACCCCTGACCGCTGTATGAGCACCAGCGACTTGCCTAGATGTTTCCTCCCCTCTGATCACTAGCATCTTTTTTGTTTTTATTCTTTTTTGTTAATCCTCACCCAAGAATATTTTTTTTCCATTCATTTTTAGAGAGGGGAAGAAAGGGGGGAGAGACACAGAGAGAGAAACATGGATGCGCGAGTGACATATCAGTTGGTTGCTTCCCACACATACCCCGTCCAACCAGGGCCGGGAATCGAGC